AAGGTCGCCATGTGGAAGGACCCTGAGACAGCGACGCTCGGGGTGATCAAGGACTTCATCGATAAGAACAATGAGGCGATCACGAGCAAGCTCAAAGTCCACCAGGAGCAGTTTGATGAGAACGGCGCCAAGTGGATCGGCTGTTGCGGGCGCCTGGGCCCCAGCGTCACGAAGGTGGACTTCGGCCAGGTGGGCTCGGAGGTCTACGACCTCCTCGAGGGGGGGCTGGTGCCGTGGGTCTGCACGGTGAAGCCAGACAGCCCCCGCGTGGGGCCGTCAGCGGCCCCCCTTTCGGGCTACGGGTGCGCGCTGGTGCCATTGACGCCCAACATGGCGTACTTCGTTCACCCCGTGGCGGAAGTGGTAGCCCAGGGGGTCTCGCTCAAAGACATCATGAAATTCTTCGAGACAGAGGAAGGGGCCAAGATCAACCAGGCTAGCTTCATCCTCCAGCCTGAGGTCGGGCAAGCGGCCCACGTTCCGCGCGGGCACGTCGCGCAGGTGCTCTTCTACCCCGTGGAGGCAGCAGCGACCTCCAGCAAGACCTGCAACCTCGGCCACACGTTGTTCATCCCCCTGCTGCACGGCGGCAGGTTTAAGGCCAGGGTGGCGGTGAGGAGGAGGAGATGGTGGGGAGGAGGAGGAGGGGGAGGAAGGAGGAGGATGAGGAGGAGGAGTGAGGAGGAGGGCGAAGATGAGGAGGAGGAACGGCACTGCCCTCCTCCACCTCCTCCTCCCCCCCCCAACCCTTTGGCCATTATCGTCCTCATCTTGCCGATGCTGCTGCCCTTAATTCCCTCCGCATCCATCTCTCCCCTGCCCTTGTACCGTGAAGCCTCCTGCTCGTGCTCCCTCCAGCTCCACTACTCACTTCTTCGCCGCCCTCCCCTTCCCCTCTGGGCGCTTCGTCGCTCCCTCGAGGCCCTGGACGGGGCCGCGGGCACAGCTGTCAAGACGTCCAACATGGACTACATGCGCACAATGAGCAGCGCCATGTACAAGGATCGGCCCAGCTCATTGACGCGCTTCCATAGCGAGTGAGTGGAGGCGCAGGACGCAGGAGCGGGCGGCGCGGCCCTCGACGTGCGTGCTCGTGACATCGGCGCTCGCACGCACTCACGATCACACCCACTTTGAGAGCACCATCGCACGCTCGCACACACAAAGGTTCACACGCCACTGCGCGCACAATGCCATATTTTTTGGGAGGCCGAGTCGTCGGCGAGCGTCGGACATTTAGATGCTCGGATCTTGGTCCAACGGGGAGTGCTGCTGCCGCAAATGTGGGGAGAACGGTAGCGAGCTCTCGATCGGTCTCTCGGTGCATGCAGCGCGCCGTGTCCTACTCGTGCCTCCCTATTGTCACGTTTCGTTGGCCACCGTCGTCGGCGTCGCCATTGCTATCGAGACATGCTCGTGGCATCGCAGTCTGCTCATTCAAGTCGCCGTCGCCATAGTCAGCCATTCCACCGAGATGATGCTAGTCACGATCGCCGTCGCCATCGCAGTCGCTTGCGTCACCGTCGCAAGCACGAGCGCGCGAGCAGGGGGGATGAGAAGGATGTGGAGGAACATGATGAATGGGAGGAGGGGGAGGAGGAGGGGGAGGAGGGGGAGGAGGGGGAGGAGGAGGAGGAGGAGGAGGAGGCCTGGTCAGACTGCGTTCACCATTCATCTCTCACGTGCTACCTGGCATTGTATTCAACCCTGGGGTCTTCGAATGCTAGCCCTGCCTTCCGCCGCCCCCACCCAAGGACCTGGCCTTCTTGGATGCTCGCCCCAGGTCTGGTTTATGTATTTGTTTCGCGGGCCCTGCGGGGGCCCAATGCAATCCTACCGTGCGCTAGCTCAAGGTGGCCCCCCCCTCCATGGGTGAGCCCGTGCTAGCCTTTTTCTGGTGCCCCCCCATTCAATGTGCCAGAGCACCCCTCCCCGTCATCATCATGGCAACTGTCCTCATGCCCCCCTCCACCCCCGCCCTTTTCATCATCCTGCCTGTCCTCATTTTTTGTTGCGATTGGCGCGCGGCCGTCGGCCACCAACTCGTCAATAACTTACCCGCCTACGCTAGCACCCAACGTCAACAATATATAGATGAGACCACGCTGTGGCTTATCTACATGAGCTTCGTGCTCAAGCCGTCGGCCTTGCTTGCCGAACACCCGCGCACTCCGCGCAATCATGTGAACCCACACCAACTGGGCACGACCCATACGCCATGAGCAATGCACTTGGGTACCCAACGCACTGCTATGCACCACGCGCCCTGAGCCCACCTCTACACGCCCTGACCCATCACCCTTTGCACAAGTGGGCGCGCGAAGGACCCTGCGCGGAAATGCGTTAAAGCATTGCTTCGCGAGGCAGCTCGAAAGCCATCCGCGCGCAGACGACTGCGCATTGACTCGTAATGCCTGCGCAACTCGCGCGGCACATCAAGATACGGGCGCGGGCCGCCATCGCGCGATATCATGCGATGCAGTTTGGCACACCCACGCTTCGCATTTCATTGGGCTCGGAACGTGCGAACGCTGACGCATGCCAAGGCGCGCTCGCGAGCTCGTGGCGCACTTTCAGTGCCGCGGGACGGCACGCCCGAAACCATTGATCGACGCTAGCCCGTGATCCAGATGCCGACCTTGAATACCGATCGTGATGGCGCATCGATTCGCCGTGCCTTTGCGGCCGCGACGACTAGGATCCCTTTCCCCAAACTGCACCAACCAATATGCACAGTTCGTTGCACGCTGTGGGACAACCTACCAAAAACCACCGCTATTAAGGGAGGACGAAAACTTAAACCACCACATATAACCTTGAGGCTAGGCCCTTGGGCCGCGGGCAACCTTGCGCTTTCGCCTTTGGGCCAGATATTACCTTATTCAAGGAATGCCCCACGACAGTGTCTAGCCACTCCCCAGCGGCCCAGAGCGCCTGCAGGCCCCCAGCCCCCTGGGGTTGAGTCGGGCCTGGTTCAAGAATTGTGCAGGAGGGGAAAAAACACACAGACACAATTAATCGTCGATTCTCCAGAAAATATGGGAAAATTTGGGAAGAGGGGGGGAAGACAAAAACATCGGAAATATGCGAAAATACGGGCAATGCTGTTATTTGTGTGTGTATTTATTTGTGTGTCCCAGGGCCCCTTCAATTGTAAAAAATTGTTTGGGGGTCTGATATTCCAGCCTACTTTAGAAAGAATTTCGAGCGCCAGGAAAGAACAGTACGTACCGAAACTCCAGGGTTTTCACGTGTTGGGCCCTGGGAGGCACTCGCCCGACACTCTTTCGACACCCTTTCGACACTTTTCCGGGTGCTCGAACTTGTTTTTGGGGATGTGGTCCTTAAGTAAGATGGGGGCAACATAAGTCTGGGGACGTTTTTCGATATTTGTTGACAGTGTTGATATATTGTTGGTATTTTTCATTGTTCGTCCAAAATCCGCTTGCAGGGGGACCTGCCCGACCTGACCCTGGGATTGGCATGACCCTGCTAAGCCTCCTGGATGGGGTCCGAGCAGGTGGGGTCGGAGGATCCAGGGAAACGAACAATGACAAAGATAAAAGCTCGGAGGTCCGCGCAGATTTCTCGAATCGGCGCTGGACCCCCCTGGCGGCGCCTCCGGCGCCGCCCCTGGCGCGCTCCGCGCGCCAGGGAGGGGGGTCCAGCGCCGATCCGAGAAATCTGCGAGGACCTCCGAGTCTTCATGTTTATGTCATTGTTCATCTCCCTAGGATCGCACCGCATCGCCGATGCATCGATGCGGTTCGATGTGGAGCCCGTGCTTCCCCACGCCGACGTCGCCGATGTATCGCCGATGCATCGCCGATACATCGACGATGCTTTGGCGATGCGACGCGAGTCTTCGATCCCATGTACTCGGACCACTTCTAGGATTGAGTCGGTCCTGTCCCTCTACAAGAAGAATATCCAAAACGCCTTAAACAGATAGTCTAGGGACAATGGTTTGACATGTTTTGTGTTTGTTAGGGTATTTTCTATTTTTATTATTTCGTCCAAAATCTCCCTGTAGGGAAACATGCACGACCTAAAGCTAGGAGGCCTCTAGTGGCGTGACCCTGCCTGGGTGCCTGCCGACCTGGCGGTGCTCGGCGCGACTCCTCCGAGTCGAGCCGATGCTCGGAGGAGGAAACGCTGCCCATACTTCGGCGGCGAGCGAGGGGGGGAATCGAGGAGGAGAAGCCCTTCCAGAAGGCTCGGAAGTCCCCCGGCCTTCTGAGAAGTTTGCTGAGCCTTCCCCGAAGACACAGAAAACTTCTCAGAAGGCGCCAGGGCTTCTGAGAAGTCCCGCCGCCTTCTGAGAGGGCCTTCTCCTTCTCACTTCCCCCCCTCGCTCGCCGCCGAATACCGCTACCCTTCCCTCTTTTTGCCTTTTTGGGCGTCCTGGGAGGCCCTCGTCGTCACCGCTGGATTCGCCTCGAAATTCTAGTCAGAACGCACCCCCAGAGAGGTCCGGGGAGTAGCGGTATCGGTACCTTTTGGTTTCCCCAGATGCGAATTCGATGGTTTTGCCTCTCCAATTCGACTTCGGCTTCCGATTTGGATTCGAGGCTCTTCATGGAGGCCGACTGGCTTGCCGAGATTTCCGCCGACTCGACCTCTCCCGACCTGGCCGCCGAGTTCCGCCTATCCGATTCATTTCGATCGCCGATCCAACTGATCGATTCCATTCTGTGCTTGCGTGCCCGAAGGATTCCAAATTCCTGAGGACGCACACCTCAAACTGTCCTGCTTTTCTATCTTGCACGCAATTGAACAGTAATGAAGCTTTAGCATGTCGTGTCGGAAATCGTCCAGAGGGCTTTCCTGGGGGTAGTGTTTCATCCCAGGGCCGTTTCTAACACCCAGGGCCCGAAGACGGGCCCTGGGGGCCAGAGACTACAGAAAAGCCGAAGGAGCCGAACGGAAACAGATCGACGACGATCGTCGCATTCCTTACCCTCCGCCGGGAGGAGAAGGCACAAACAGAACGCCCAGAGGATGCCGCGCCCCGCGCGGCCGCGGCCGCGGGGTACGCCGCCCCCGAGCGCGACTACTCCTCGGTCTGGCAGGACCTGAAGCGCTACGCCGCTGGCGGCGCCGCCTCCGGCGACGTGTGGGACGAGCTGCTCGAGGCTACGGGCGAGGAACCTGGGGCCTCCCGGCGGGGCCCCCGAGCGGGTGGTGTCGGGGCATCGCGCCGCAGTGCGCACGCTTCGGCGGCGCGGCCCGATGTGGAGCCCGAGGTTCCCCGCGCCGATGCGGCGGCGATGCGCCGGCTCGGCGATGCGGCGCCACCCTCCGGCCCCACCCGCTCGGGCCCGGTGCGGGGGGCCTCCGGAGGACGAGGGCCCGGCCGCGGGCCGCCCTCCGCGCGCCCGGAGGCGGCGGCGCGCGCGGCGCGCGGCGCGGGAGCCGTTCGTCTGGGAGGCGCGGAGGGCGGGAGTTGCGCGCCCCCGGCCCCAGGCAGCCGTGGGCCCCAGTGTGATCGGAGATGGATAGACCTCCTACCCTGACACGTCGATTAGTGAATTGACTTGGCAGTTTTCGGTTCGCGAGAGGGCGTCGCGGCCGTCGTTTTTGCGGGTCCGGGTCCCTCGGTTTCGGTCCGAGGCCGTTTCCTTTAAAGGTTGGTTTACTAAAGGGAGTTTCGTTCACCGCCGGTATAACACACACCACCACCACCTCCGGTCCCTCTCCCCTCGTCCACCCTCATCATTCAGGTAGGGCGTGTCCTCCTACAGGGGGATTTTGGACGAAACAGTTTCAAAATAGTCCACAAAAATTTAAACGTACCAGAAAATGAAGCAAAAATGGCCCCCAGACAATCTTCTTTCAATATTTGGATATTCCTCCTGTAGAGGGGCACGCCCGACCTAACTCGTCATCCTCTCCCCTTTCGTGGCCCTTATCCTGGGAGAGGGAGGGGATGAGGGAGGTGGTGGCGGTGGTGTAGACCTTTGGGCCCCGCAGACCTGCTCGCGCCGTGGAGGCCCCCCGACGGAAGGTTCTTCTGCTGGTCGGGTTTCGGCCTCCAGGGTCCCTCTCTCGCTGGGCCCCGGCACCGTCGAGGAGCGGCTGGGGGCGACGAGCCGCCCCCCCCAACATGGGGGAAGAGGGTCGGGATCTCTGGGTGCGGGCAAGGTCCATGTCCACACCTGGTGCGTTTTGGAGTTTCGGGCCCTCTTCCCCAGAAGCATGAGGCGCACCGGGTATGGATAAGCATCTGGTCCCAAGAGGCCCGATGTGTATCCGTATCTCTGTGCGCCTCGGCCTTGCGGCGCTTCTTGGGAGAAAGTCCAAGACGCACTGGATATGGACATCAGCAGTGCCCGCACTGGGGACCGCATGTCTGGGACAAGGTCACCTCAAGCAGTGGCGAAGCGTCCTGGCGTGCCCATTAGGTCCACCAGAGAAGGTCGAAGAAACTTTGTGTGGGCTGCACGAAGAGCACTTCTGGCTGAGACTCTTGTTTTCGCACATCTGCTTCTTGTTCTCAAAACACTGCCTCTGTCCTAAGAACATTGTTGGGCGAACACTACATCTTGGTAGGCCTATAGGAATGCTGGGGCGGTCGGTCCCTGCTCAACAAGGCTTTCTGAACGGGTGCAGGATTATTTGAACAGGTGCCGGACTCGTGGGCGCGCAAGACATGTCCGCATCCACGTCGTCGCCAAGGGCCCTTTGGGGCCGCGGCCCTGCAGATCTGGAGCGCTGTTGCCGCGGATGCCCCGCGCGGGAGGCACCCATGATCCCCAGGTAGTTGGCATCGCTCGGACGTGTGCATCTTTCCTTCGGCGAGAACCATCGAGGAGCATCCTTGATCAGTTGGCGAACAAGCCACGCACGAAACCGAAAAAAGCACAGGGAATGGACGTCCGAGCGATGGCGAGGGTACCTTGTGCGCAGAAGGTGGCGCCCGAGCGTCGCACTGTTGCCTCAGCATGCCCAGGGTACCATTCACACCAGAACATCTGAGCGTGCGATGCGCAAGCCATGGACGGGCCCTTCCGCACCCTTTGAGGAGACATTGTTGCGGCTACCCGATTTGTCAGCCCCGCGAGGAGGAGTGGTGGGAGGACCCGCCGGGCGCGCGCGGCGCCAGGAGCCCGCCCAGAGGTCCAGCTGCGCAGCTGTTTCACAACGGGCGTTGCCGCCGGGGTCTCGGCCCCCCCCCGGGACCAGCACAGAGCGGTCCGGCTAGAAACATGTCGCAGAGAGATCGGGTGCACTCCAAATCCGTTATTCAGCGTCCCCCGGGTCCGGTTTTCGAAGGCGCCTTTTTTGTCATTGCGGGGGTCCTGTTCATTCGGGAACCTAGGGGGTCCGGTTTGGTAAGGCGCCCCGTCGAAGATCGAGGGGGGGGGGCAGAATAGTAGGTCGCATTTGGAGAGGGGTCTGATTTTTTTGGGGGGGCGATTCATAAGGGATTTGAAATCGATTATGGTCGCCATGGATGGCCATATTTGCTTCGCGGCGTCGGATGTCGGGGAAGAGACAACCACAACCGCCGGGCTGAGGGAGCCGTCCCCTTGGTACCCCGCCCCCCCCAAAGCCGACCCAGACTGGTGACAGCAGGAGGTCTTCAGTTCTGCCGCGCCCTCCCCCCCCCAAAGGCCATTGGCTGGCAATCATTTCTGCGCGTCCCTTGGTTCGCCCTGTGCTTCTCCTCCTCCTCCTCATCCTCCTCCTTCTCCTCCTCCTTCCTTCCCTTAGCACCGCGCGCATTCGTTCTGAACATTTGCAGGAGTTTCACGGATTGAAGGTGGGTGGTTGTCAAAATGTGGTTCTCAATTTAGCCCCTCGCACATTCGTTTCAAACTTTGTAAGGTTTCACGGATTGAAGGCCGGTGGTCTTCAAAATTTGGTTTTCGTTGTATCGCCGCGCACATTCTTTTTCGAAAATGTGCAAGAGTTCCACGGATAGAGGGCGGGTGGTTTTCAAAATGCGGTTCTCGCCTTGGCGCCGCGCGCAGTTGTTTTATAACAGTGCAAAAGTTGTCATAGTTTAGTGGCCTTCGGCCAGTGCCGCCGATCCGGGTCGCTTTGGGTGCCCCCAAGACTGGGCGGCGACACTTCGCCGACAGACACGCGCGCACACGTTCGCAGACATTACGCGCACACGCGCACGCACGCACGCACGCACGCACGCACGCACGCACGCACGCACGCACGCACGCACGCGCACGCACGCACGCACGCACGCACGCACGCACGCACGCACGCACGCACGCACACACACACATACACACACACACACACACTCACACACACACTCTCACACACACACGGGGAGAGCTACAAGGCGTCGACGTCCATCTCGATATGCTGCAAGTGGGTCCCAAGTCGGTGGAGGTGGCGCTCCTCTACGCAGCCCGTAGCCGAGCCCCAGCTCAGTGGGCAGCGGCCAAGCCAGATCGAGTTGCGCTCCTTCCTGCGCCCTGGCTGCCGCCCCCGCGGCAGCGGATCAAGAGGCGCAAGCAGGACGGCTGGTTGCAGCACCACGCGGACGCGGTCAACCAAGCGGTGCTCGGCGGTTCCCCCTCGCAGGAGCCCCCTTTCAAGTCGGGCCAGGCGGACACGCCCTATTGCCAGCTCGGCGTCGACTACAACGAGTTCGGCACCATGCAGCTCTACTACTGGCAGTGCGGCCGCAGCCCGACGTCCGCCTCAGTGCGGGACCAGCTCACAGCGTACAACGCGGTTCCCACCTTTCGAGATGTCTGTCTCCTGCTTCAGCAGCAGAGCGCCCCCATCCGCAACTTGCGCGATCGTCACTACGTGTTGCTGGAAGGTATCGAGGAGCTGCAGAATCTCTTTCAAGTCTTCACCTCCCGCGAGAGGCATCACGAGGATGTGCAGGAGCTCTCAGCTTGGCATCTGTGGTGCAGTCACCATACCTCCTACCTGGAACGGCAGATCGGCGTGGAGCGGCGCCAGTCCCTCAAGCAGCGTTTGGAGGACGACTTACCTGGTTCGCAAGGGCTCACTCACAGGAGACACAGTCACTTCGCAGACGTTCGGGCTAAAGGAAGGGCGGACCTCAGCGCGCCGCCAGAGGGGGTCGTGTCGCAGCTCAAGCAGGAGCTCAAGGCCACCAAGCGCATGCTGGAGTACTGTGGTCCTCTCAGGGCCGTCCTCAGCGAGGCCAAGCAGGCCGTACCTCGCCCTCGGCTGCAGCAGCAGAGCGCTTACGCGCCCCCGACAGCCCGCCCCAAAGGGGCGCCCAACCAGCCACGCGTCCTGGATGCTTGTCGGGGATACCACAAGTGCGTCAACGGTGGCAAGGTGGCGCGCACCCAGCTGGCGGCCGTTCAGCTGCAAGAAGGTCGCGGTCGACTCCAAGGGCTCCAGGCTAAGATCGTCAAGATTGCCGTCAAGAGGGGAAGTGTGGCGGTTCCCCTGCGGGTGGCAGCTGGCGCCACTGGCCGCGCCGTGCGCCAGCGTCCAGACCACGAGGCCCAGGACGAGGGGCTGCGCGTGACAGACCAGACCCCCCCGCAGGGGCCGCCTGCTCAGGTCCTTTGGGAGCCAGTGGCAGCAGCCAGGGCGGCCTTGAGCAGGATGAAGGCATTGCCAGACGGGCCTGGGTGCATTGGCGCGCCGCCCCCCGAGCTCATCCCAGAGCACCGCGCGAGGTCGATCACAGACGACGCGGTGGTTTGGGCGTCTTTCTGGATCGACAGGTTCGACCTGGACGTCCACCTCAACGAGCGGGACTACTGCGCGTGGTGCTCCGAGTACCTCGAGGTGTTTGTGGGCGCCGCCGCCTGGACCCCCGT